GCGTGGTTGGTCCCATGTCAGGCGGTGTGGGCATTAACAGATGCTGACCGGTTTGGTTTTGTTTTGTTTTGCAGCAGGTCGTTGCCGACTGAGCGCTGCCTGCGGGGCTTCTGTGAGAAGGCCACTTGCTCCGAAACCGGTGTTGGGGTTTCCGATGTTAGCTGTGTTCAAGGGTAGCTCACAGAAGGGTTGCGAGACGCTAGGTTATTGGAAATCACTTTTCTTTCACAAATTGGTTATGCTGAGGCACTCTGAAGGCTTGAGACAAGGTTTTATTACTGCGTCTGCCACTAGCTTATAACTAGACTTAAATACACCTACTGTTGTGTCCACTGAAAACAACAGATTTACTGATCATTTCTCTGAAAGGAGCATCATGTTAATAATCCTTTGTCTTGCTGCTTCAATTTCTCTACCGTTCCTTATCACTGTTTTTACCCTGGATCCCTATTTACAATGAATACGTTAAGCACAATGTGTCATATGAATGTATCTTCACAGTTCATCGCTTTAATTACTCATGCTAAGCATACATTATTTCTGATAACCTTATGTTTTTTTAAGACTGAATCTAAATTCAGAGGAGTCTGGTGCAGAGCAAGGTACTGCAGTTTACTCAACAAGACTTAACAGCGTTTTGTTAAGGTGATCTTAGACTTGTTGCTCTCCCACTGCCCCCTGTGTGCACTTGGCTTTTGGTGCTGTTTTGCATAGTTAAAAATATCAGCAACTGTCAAGTTGGCTGTTCCCTCAGCAAGCCATCATAAAGGGAAAAGACAACACTTCAGTGCAGCATCTCTTGCTTTCCTCGCACTAGCTTGTAAGATGAACAGGGAGATACTGTGTATTGCGGTATGTCAGAAGGAAATCATGCAGTTAGGCCTGCCTGTCTTTTAGGAGTATTGTTGCTGTTCTTCCATACTTGAAAACTAGCGAAAAAGCTTTATGGGAAGTTTGACTGCATTTATATTTGATTCACTGTGAAACACAATTACAGAAGCACAAGGTTTTGTAGGTATCGCCCACTAGCAATAACCACATGCATTTATATTTTGTTTTCACCTCATTGGGCCAGTTTAATAAAAAGAAAATCATCTGTCCAATGGGATGGATATTTGGGTGGCAGACTGCCCATACCTACAATGCTGAGAGAAAGAGATAATGCTATCACTGTGCATCAGCTGTTTTCTTTCTTTTGTGGATAAATGTATTCAAGTAACTGCTGATAGCTTATTTCATACCTGATAGCAGTGTGGCGCTTTTTTTTTTTTTTTGGTGCCAGGAAAGCAGAAACCAAAGTAATCTAAAATTTAAAATTGTAAATTATTTCACGTGCAACAGCTCTCTCATCTTAAACACACACACACACACACCCTGCGTGCACATACCCACACTCACCCACCCGCCCCCCAAATGTTTTTGAAAACAATAATTCATGGATAGGTAGGTGATTTCTTCCTCAAAGTCCATGGGATGACAGACACCAAACCCTGCCTGCAAAGAGTGTTGTAATTCAACAGTTCAGTGCAGCCATTGAACTAAATTAATTTGAATTGTGTACCTGTGTGCATGTAACTGACATTTTGAACTGGGGCCTGTGGTCCTAAAGTAGAAGCATTTAATGCTCAAAAGCAGGTAAATAGAAAGCATTTACGTGCATCTTATGATTGATATTTTGGGGTTATATATTTTTGAAGCATGGATTACAGGGCTTTGTGATTGGTGTTGCCTGAATTGTGGGCATGTACATAGTTGAACTGTGTGGAATGTGACATCTTTAGCAGCTGGGAGATTGTGGGGTTTTGAGATTCCGTATGAGATGATGCCAGTAGCTGTACCAGGCATCTTTGCCTTCTCACACCCTTTAACCTATATCTGGGGTGAAAAAACCCCACTGAAGGAGCTTGGCACGACAGTGACCTTTAGAAGGGTTGAACCAGTCACCTTGGGTGATAAACTACTTCCAGTCAGACTTGTTTGGTCGGTTTGCTAGGGAGAAGGTCACCTTAACAATGTAGTTGACTTGGCAAGGGTCACTCGACACCTGATGGAAGATCGTGGGATGGGACAGATGGCGTTTGAGGCACCAAAGGGCAGGAGCTATGCTTTTTGCTGGTTTAAGGTTGCTCAGCTGGTGGATAAGTGATTGGATTAGGAACTTTAAGATAGGGGATAAAATAAGCTGTCTTGAATGTGAAGAGACTACACCTTGGGAATATGCCTTGGAGCCTCAGGATTCACACAGTGCCCTGATTCAGTTAAAACGCTGCCTCACATATGTACCCTAGCCTGCTTTTTTGGTAATGCGTCCAGGGCAGATTAGCAAGGTGTGCACAGCCAGAATTCATGTCCCTATCTGTGTCGCTAGAACCAGTTGGCAGTTAACCTGATTGTCCAGCTAGAACAGGAACAGTAGAGTTTGGGAAGAGATGGGAGGTTACGAGGACAGAGGCGTTCATATGGCAGGAACTTGCCATAAAATAATGGGAGACAAAGTGGGTGGTCTTGCTCAGTGAGCATCAGATACAGTTCTTCAGAAGTGTGGAGTAAGGGTATGTGGTTGGGCGTACCGTTGGTACCCACTGCAAGGAGGAGAGCTGCTGTTTGGCATGCAGCTGCCTCGTGCTACTTGAATGGCACTAACCATCCCTCAGAGCTTGTCGGGGTTAAGGATCACGAGGGAATCTTTCAGTCTGGTTTTTCTCCAGTAACTGAGCCTCTGCAGGCACCAAGTCTTGCAACATAGCTTAAACTAGAACTGTTATTACTAGGACTAAATTGGCAAGAATTCCTGTTGCTTTGCCTTGTGATGTGGCAGGAGTATCCAAGATGAGCCAGATATTCCATTAAATTATTTCAGACTACATACTGAGGAGTATTAGGGCACAGAAATGGGTATAGGCTTGCTTGTTGATTAACAGGTGTGGGGAGCTGGTATTTCACCTTTCACAGAGCAATCTTAGGCTTGGTGTCAGTTATTTGACCTTGCTTAATTCAGTCCTACAACAGTTGTTGCAGCATAACAGGAAAAGAGGAACCAGAGAAACCAGGCAGGAGAATCTTCATAAATTCAGGAAATAAGACTAGGCAAAGGTTCACTTTTTTAATATTATATTCAAAGGCTGAAAAACAAGACAGCAAAGGCATTTAAGTGTTAAATAGTAACGGAATTATTGTCTTGCTCAAGTCGTACATGCTGACAAGCTGTTTGAAAATCCCAGTCGGACAGTTGCTGAGTCAGTTGTTTCTGTCTTTTCTCTGTCAACACACAACACACAGAATGTGTAGTGAAGTTCAAAACCAAAGACAGTGATTTACCAGGATCCAGACTTCGGATATAAATCTGCAGTAGTAAATGTGCTTTTGTTAAAGGAAATCAAAGCACTTTTGGAGGAACACATCCATGTGTTATGTTGAATGTGATTCATACTGTCTGTGTGGACCTGAAATTTGAGGCTTGAGCTGGTGAGTTGCCTGCCATTGCAGCGGAAACCACTCCGTGCACGTGCAGGTCTAGAACAGAGGTGGCTGACAATTGTGGTTTCTGTATCACCTCCTGAACCCAGGGGACTCTGTAGCGTGTGAAGTGCTATTAGAGAAATAAATTCCAGGCTTTTAAGTCATACAGTTGTATGGTTTAACTGAAGAAGGTCTACTTGGGATGCTATAATTTTTTCTGCCACTACTTAGAAAGTGACCTTAGGGCCATAGTAACACACATCTTGAATACAGCACAGTGAGTTGTGCCATACTAAAAGCTCTTGGAGAAGAATTAATCTGTTTGGTTTAGTTGGCAGCGGTGAGTTTATTACAAGCAATGCCCATAATAAATGTAGGGGAGTGTGTGGGTATAACTAGATGTGGTGTAAAGTTAAAGTGTTCTTGCCTCCTAATAAAGTGCACAGTTTCCACACATACACACACACTTAAGCCTTGTATTGGTGACTCTGGATTTTTTGCATCTTTCTAATTCTTTTTGTCTGCCTAGTAGGTTATCAGTAATTAGGAAGCTGCCTTCTAAGTTAGGTTAACAGCCTTTATGAAATGTCGTCTCTTTCTTCCATGTAGCACTCAGCCTAGGAATGGAAGGGAAGGTTGCATTTGTTCCTCTTCTTGGAAGTAACTTCAGTAATTCGATTTCTTTGTTGCTTAGAGATTCGAGTAGTAAAATGATCACCATCCCACATGTTTCACTTATTTTTTTGGGGAGAAAATAAGGCTAACAGTAGGGTGCCATTGCAATAGTTAAATTCTTTGAGCTTGGCAGCATAACCATAAAGCTTAAAACTTAGGCAAGATAGAAATGCTTCTTGGCTTTAAATGCATATCAGTGTTGTACAGCAGTGACAGGACAAGGGGTAATGGGTTTAAATTGAAATAAGGTAGATTTAGGTTAGATATCAGGAAGAAGTTCTTCCTGGAGAGGGTGGTGAGGCACTGGAACAGGTTGCCCAGAGAAGCTGTGGATGCCCCATCCCTGGAAGGGTTCAAGCCCAGGCTGGATGAGGCTTTGGGCAACCTGGTCTAGTGGAAGGTGGCCCTGCCCATGGCAGGGGGTTTGGAACTGGATGGTCTTTAAGGTCCCTTCCAACCCAAACCATTTTATGAATTGATCAGTCAGTCATTTAACAAAGAAAGCTTCCCGTTTCTTAAAGGTAAAAATGATCGTTTTTAAAAATCATGTCACTTTTAACACTGCTTTGAAGATATAATCCATTTGATTTGTGGAACTACAACCCATAATCTCACTGGATAGCTAATAAGCAGACCAAATAAGTGCGTGCTTCGGTCCAACCTGCTCTAGATATATTTGTTTGAGAGAAAGCAGCAGGTGTGAATGCCTCATGTATTTTTCCCCTTGTTTTACTAGATCAAAACTGCTACATAGTAACTGGTCCAATAACTTGTGACTTTCTTTTTATTTTAAACAGAATCTCTTTATTCTACAGTGAAATTACAGGGGTTTTCTTAGAATGTTTTTGTTTTCTTTCCTGCAGGGGTTCTGCAGTTGCCAAAATAGTAGGCAATAATGTAAAAAAATTGCAAAAGTTTGCTTCCACGGTGAAGATGTGGGTCTTCGAGGAGAACATTAATGGGAGAAAACTGACGGATATCATAAACAATGAACATGAAAATGTAAAATACCTCCCTGGATACAAGCTGCCAGATAATGTGGTAAGGCTCAGAAGCTAAATTCAAGTTACGGAGCAGGGGGAATGTGGCTGATGCTGTGAATGGAGGTGGAAATTTGTTTTGCTAACAACTTTCGGGTTTATAATATTTCGAACTGCATGCTATTTTATTGATGAGATTGGAGATTTGAACAAGGAAAATGATGCATTTATGCAGGTAGGCAAATCTAATGCATAGTGGTCTCATTATTTGCTTTGTTACTTCAGCTTCTGTATAAGGAAGCATATGTGAAAACGAGGACACGATTAACAGCTCTGGCCATACCCATTCAAAAGAAAAACTTGGCCTCAGCTTTGGAAGGGAGTTGGCTGGTCCGTGAGAATTGAAGGGATTTCAGGTGCTCTGGAACTCTTAAAAAATGTTTCAGGATGTGAGCTAGAGTATTTCTCAAGCAAACTGCAAGCCATGTGCAGTTTGTGGGGTTCTCAGTTGCGTTTCAACTAGGTGCTGGTCAGCACGCTAGCTGTAGCATTGCCAGGGCAGTGATGGTGGGTGGGCAGGTGGTGGCCCCCCCAACATTATGGGAAGAGACTGCAGCAGCTGACAGTTCAGTAGAGGTTTTGGGCAGGAAAAACATGACTTGCCAAGCTTTGCGGTTTTCTCTTTAACAATAATGCTGACATCCCGTTTCCCTAGCCTTCAGCAGGGGTGGTGTTTCTGCTGCCCACTACATGCTCATTAAGCTTGTTCTTTTTATCCATAGGTTTAGTTTATTCCTACGTTTTAAGCCTGAGTGTTCCTTTAAGATGGTCATCAAGTGTTAGGGAAAGTGGAGTCTGGCAAGTGACTTCCAAGTAGGTGACCACCTTAATAGGTAAACAGAATCTATGAGGACAGAGAAAGAGAATATAAACTAGTAGGCGTAAGAGGTCTGGAGAAGAAATCTGAGTGTGTAAGGAACTAAGTAAAGAAACTACTGCATGCAGTAGTTTATAAAAAATTGAGATTAATCTGTCAAGGAGAAGGCAGCTTCTTATTTTATGTTCCCTTAATCACAGTACTTGTATGAATGTTATGGAACATTTTGAATTTTTGTTGCACTAACCGTGCTGGGGGCTGTGAAGATGCCCCTTTCAAGACATAAAATAGCTTGTTTGAAAGCTTAAATTCTTTTGCTTTTCTGGGAAGTTTATGTTGCTGCTTATTTGCAGTGGTGAAGCACAGTAGTCTGTAGCCTTCACTCTTAAGATCAAAATATGCTTTTACTTACCAGATGACTCTTGTATGTAGCATTAATTTTAAGAAGTTATGTGGCCTTTCTCTCCCATAACTGCTCAGGTTGCGGTCCCAAATCTTAATGAAGCTGTACAGGATGCGGACTTGCTGGTCTTTGTCATTCCTCACCAGTTCATTCATAAAGTCTGCGATGAAATCACAGGACGAGTACCCAAGAAAGCGCTTGGTATAACTCTCATAAAGGTATAATGAATTCTATGCATTAATAAATGAGAATGTGTTGTGGAATCTTCTAAAACAAGAAAACAAGGTGGCTTGGTATTTTGGCATGAAAAGTCTCTTCACATAATTCACTTGATTGTTCCATTAAACCTTTCTAGAAGTAAGATTGGAATTTGTCTCAGTCTGTAGTGGATTGTGTTGGGGTGTTTTGTTTTAGGCTAGTGCTCGCCGGCAGAGAAAAAGGAGGCTGCTCGCAGGGCTTGTAAAAAGAAAGAGAGCGAATATGTTTTGCACCACCAAGCTTTGCAGTCTTTTATGCGTTGTTTCCAAACACATCATTAGATGAAGAACAGAGCACAAGCATAATGCTTTGATTGTTAACGCGCATCCCACACACTGAGCCGATGATTTTAAGAACTGCTGAGAGCATTTAATGTGAGTGAGACGATAGTGCTCCTGTTCATGTGAAATACTGTGTTGCAACGAGAGAGTCTGTTCAGCCTGGCCCAAAAAAACCAGTTTGAGTATAAGAAATAGGAGGGGGCAGAGGTGCAGGAAGTGTTTCACTGGAGTGTTTGTAGTTTTGGTAGCAGGGGAACTTTAAATGTGGATGGGCCTCTTCCCTGTGCCCCCCCCCC